AATGATTATAACATGTCTAAGTGGTCATATTTAGCCAACCTCCTTAATCTTCAATTTATGATTACTCAAATCAACCTTACAGTAGAGAATATGATGGAAATATTGATTGAACAAAGTAGTTATCTATTCTTGGAAAGGAGAACTTATTCTAAATCTTAATCTTATCCATCCCTCTATACTCAATATAAAGTTGCATACCTTCATTTTTTTTCTTAATGAGTACATAATGGCATCTCCCCATAAAAGTACACTAGGTTAATTGTTTAAAACCTCGAGCTAATGATAGTTAGCTTTGGGATAAGAGGTATGCCATCCAACCATGCACATGGTTAAGAGAATCTTTAAAATAGCTCTTATAATTGGATTGCCAAAATTAGATTATAAATTTTATCATACTTATAAATGCTTGCATTTATGGTAAACACTCTAAGTATCATTTCATAGTAAGAACATAAATACAATGTTTAGGCCATTCGAATTATTTAATATGGATTTATTTGAGTTAGTATAAGTAGCTTATGTGATAAGAACTATGAATTTAATATAGTTGATGGTTTTTTAAGATCTACTTGGGTGACATTTTTAACTAGTAAGAATGATACATTTGGAATCTTTAGGAGGTTTGCTAATTATATACAAGGAGAATAATGTTCTTTGATTTTTAAGACTCAAAGATATCATTGAGGAGAATAAAGATTTAAAAATTATTTTAATGAATATGATATTTAGTATAACCTTTCTGCACATAGAACTCTTTATTATAATGGAGATGTAGAAAGAAGGAATGAAGTTATAGTATAATTAATAAGATATATATTTGATGAGTATAAATTTTCATAGTATTTTTCAGCAAGATCTATAAACATTGCTTGTTACACAATCAAAATGGTAAAATATAGCATATAAACTATAAAAGTTGCCAAAAATTGATTATTAAAATGTTTTTATTTGCACCAGTAGAAAGTCTATAAGCTATTAAGTTGCTCCTTATTTAATATAATTGTAAGAGAAAAAAAAATGAACTATTTAGATAACTAACAAGGGTCTTCATGAATGGGTTTATAGATCAATAAATTTATCTATAGAAGCTCCTAGATTTTGAGAATATATTATCCAAATTATGTGTTAAGTTGAAGAAAGTATTATATGTATTAAAAAATCTAATTTAGTATCATATAAATTGAGTAATGTTTTGTTTGATGATGTGTTTCACAAGAATATATACTACCCTATATATATATATATATATTGGGATTCTAATTTTTTGAGTTTTGGAAGAAGATTAATTCTCATAAGAAGTGTCCTTTGTTCCTTGCCTGTTTATATATTTCAAACTCTTTTGCCCACTCAAGCGGTTTGCAACAGAATTGATAAATTTTTTAATAATTTTTTTTTCTGGAAAAGGACTTAGTAGCAATTCAAAAATTATTTGGTCCTCTTAGGAGAAGTGTTGTGGTGTTCTGGGAGAAGGGGGCTTTAGGGTGTAAGAGTATGATTGATTTGGCTTATGCTTTTTCGTTTAAGTTGTGGTAAAAGTTTCGTGCTAAAGTGAGCCTTTGGACTAATTTTATTATTTTTAAGTATTGTGTGGGGAAACATCCGATTACTTGTTGCTTTAACATATGTGATTCTAAAGTGTGGCATAGACTTTGTAAAGTTAAACGGGCTCTTGAGCCCTTCATCTCTTAGGGGCAAAGTAGTGGTAACATTTTCTTTTGGGAAGATCGTTGGTTGGGTGATCACTCTATTGATTCTATTATTAATTCCTCTTTCACTGCGGCTATTAAAAAGAATTATTTCATTACTGATAATTTTTGGAACTATGAGAAACTTGCTAATGTTATCCCTAATGCTATCATTCAAAAAAATTTGAATTTTCCCCTTAACACTGACTCTGATGATTATCCAAAGATGGTGGTTTTAGATTAAAGGATGCTTGACATGCCTTTAGATCTAAAAAGGATGTTACTAATCTTTTCTCTATGCTTTGGCACAAGAGTATTTTTTTATGGTGGTTATTTTTTTCTAGAGAATTCTTCAAAAATTGATTCCTACAGATGATAATTTAGTTAAAAAGAGATTTTATTTTTTCATCTAAGTTCCAATGTTGCTATTATATGGAGAATATGCATCAAGTTTTTTATCTCTAAACCTTTAGCTATTAAAGCTTAGGTTTATTTTGATGACATGTTTCAATTGAATTGTTTTAATGCTAAGTTACCTATAAATGCTTTGCTTAATTCCTAGTTTATTAATACTAAAGGCCATATCATAAATGTAATTCCTTCTCTCATTTTGTGGTACTTATGGTTAGATAGAAATAATTCTCTTTTTAATGGTGTTAGTATGAATCATCATAGGATTATTCAAAATGTGAAAAACAATATTTTGGCTCTTTATTCTGTTATGTTGCTCTCTATCAAGAACTTTAAAAATTATCCTTCTATTGTGTCTGCTTTAGGTCTTATGTTGAAGGTTGATCATCCTTCCAATAAACCTAGGTTTATTTATTGGATCAAACCCCCGAATAACTTTTATAAGTTGAATGTGGATGGTGCTATCATTGGGTCCTCTTTGGGTTGTGGTGGGGTTATCAGAGATAGTAATGGTAGTTTAATTATGACTTTTGCTGATACTTCACAAATTTTTGATGTGAATTATATTGTCATCTTGACTATTATCCATGGCTTAAGATTATGCATTTCTCTTGACTTAACTAAAATTAGTATTGAAGTTAATTCTAATTCTAATTTTCAATTTTTAAATTCTGATGTTGACACAGTGTACAATCCTACTTTGTTTTATCTGGTGAGGGATAATAAGAACTTGTTAATTTTTATGAACTACTCCTTCTATCATGTTGACAATGAGGAAATGCTTGTGCTACTTTGTTTGCTAATTGGGGGTGTGGTTTGGATTATTTTTCTGATTTGGCTGGCAATAACCTCCCTTCTCCTAAAAGGGCTTTTAAGATTATATCAAATTGGTATACCTTATGTTAAAATTTACTATATGTTGTTAGTTGGAGCCTGGGGTTTTAATTTCCTTATTTATAGAGGCTGGCAATCAATTGGTTTTTCTGTGGTGTTGTTTCTGCCAGCTGCTCATTTTTTATTTTGGTGGCTACATTGTCTCTTGGCCTGGGTCAATTTTTCCAAAATTTTTTTGGGTTTTGTATTCTTATTTTGATTGGTTTTGGGGTACTAGTGTGGCCTTGTGCTGTTGTTTCCCTTGTTCTGTTGGTTTGTGGTTTTTTGGTGCTCGGTGTTATTGCCTTATTCCCTGTTTGTTAAGGAGGGCTATTTCTTTCTTGAGGTTTTTCTTGAGTGATTGGTCGTGGCTCTTGTGGAGTTGGTTTTGGTTCTTGGCCTTGCCGCTTGTGTGCTTGGTGGGGCCTGTGTTAAAGTGTGTCTCTTTGTTCCTTTCTGCCTCGGTTTTGTTCTGGTCTTTGTTGATTGGGGTTCTGCTATTGTGCCAGCTGGAATTTGGCTTTGCTAGACTGTTTCTTTTTCCTTAACTCGGTGCCTTCCTATGTTGTGTGGTTAGGAATTTCTCTATTGTGGAATATGGGGATTTTTCCTGGTTGTTTTGTTTTTTGGTTCCTTGCTAGTTTAGCCGGGGGTTTCTTTTACTATAATGTGTTGGAAGATTTGTTGCTCATTCAAGTTTGTATTATGTTTATTGAATATGAAGTTTAGTGTCACTTCATTTTATGGCTTGGGCGACTTGGATTGTTGTAGCTATTTGCCTACCTGTGAGTTGGTGTTGGTTCTACTTCTTCAACTTCTAGGTGGGCTGGCTGTTAAGTGGTTTAAAGTTGTTTGTTGGATTCTGATTGGTTTGCCTTTTAATTTCACTATTGCTGATGTGGATATGTGCTTGGACTATCATCCAATTATTTTTTTGGTTATATTTATGTTATGCCTATTTTTCCTATCAACCTTTTTTGCAAGAAATTTTTAGTACATATGTTCAAAGTGGTGGCAATTGGGTTTGAACAGTGGAGCTTCTTGTTGTTCTTGTAATTTTGAGTAGAAGGGAACTCGAGCTCTTTCTTGAGCACTGTAGATTGTACCTATGTGTTCTTGTAATTTTGAGTAGAAGGGAACTCGAGCTCTTAAGATTATTTTGTTATCTTATTGTAGCTCTTTTGAGCATTAGCGAGCTTGAGATCCCTTTAAGGATCATGTAATCCTCTTTTTAATTAATGCGTATGCCCCTCTGCCCCTCTGCAAGTTTCCCCTAATATATATATATATATATATCTATTTGCGCTTTAATTGATATATATACTTTGAACTTCACTTTACAACTCAATTTGATCAAAAGTTTTCTTATTATTTTGTTAATTATTTTTAATTAATATTAAAATAAAATTAAATAAGTAGTTTTTTTAATAATGTCAAAAATAATTTATAAATTTGATTCAATTAAATCCATTGTATTTATTTATAAATAAAATCATACATAACATCCTATGCGTGATAAAAAAAAACTATTTGATTTTTTTCAAACATAAAAAAGCCCTGAAATTCTCTAAGCTCCTTTCTTGCAGCAGCATCTTCATTCTTTCAATTGCTATTTTCTACTTTCCAGAAGCTTGAGAACCATCAAAGTACAATAATTTGCAAACTTCACAAGGTATATTGTAAGTTTACAAGCATTTTGATCCGATGCTGCAGAACAAATGATAGATGCTTAAGGCTTCCATGTGGCTTTTCTACTGTTTCTTAAAGCAGCTTTTTAACTGCTTTAAGAAGCAATAAAAAAGCTATCCCAAACGAAGCCAAAATGGCCAAAGAATCAAAAAATAATATTAATAATCTATTAATCATTAATAGAGCTAATAATGTAATTGCATAATGATTGATTGGTTCATTTGGCTTAAATACTCTATTAGGAAATTCATCAAATTTATTTCATAACACCAAAATCCTACAAAGATTGTGCACAATCCTTCCATATATCTTTCACAAACTTAGAAGATTAAATAGCAAACGTGGAGCACAGAACACCCAGAAAGTATAACTTGCTTGTAAAGAAAAAATATACATTTTACAAGAAAGCTGGCAAAAGAACGTTTAGCAAAACCAAAACCAAAACCATATAGATTATAAGTTATACTAACCAACTGTTCCTTACATCTATTTCACATGTTTCCTCAGTAAAGCCTACCATGTAGGATATGAATGTAACAAATTCTGTAGGTATATACTCCTAGTCCTCACAAAAATGGGGGAAGAAACTGAAAAGGATGATGACAGCTAGAAATAGATGCTGATCTCCTTCTCACTCATCTCATATACATGATCTCGAGCCTCGGTTAAAGCCACCTGCATTTTTTTATAAGAAAGGTAAAAAGAAGAAGCATGCGGGGTGCAGATCCTCTATAGTTTAGGGTAGGGGTTATCTATCCCATGCAGTTAATCCCTCAAGGTGTGATAAATTTTCAATGATCAAGATTGATTCAATCAACTCTAGAGATACGTTACTTCGGTATTTACTGGAACTAATCAAAGCAGTTGGAAGTGTATTGCATGATTCATAATAGTTTAGGGGTTAAACATACCATGGTTAACCCCTCAACAATTTATGATGCATTTTCAGAAGTTAAGATTGATCCCATCAACTTCTAGCGATAACCGTCTGATTTTATGGGAACCTATCTCAATCATTGGAACTATATGGCCCAATTCCCCTTCAACTATGAAAAATTCGTACCCAATAAACATACCAAATAGATAACAAAAGTAGTCCTTGCAACGACAGCATACCTGCCCATATTTGGTCAAAAAGTTACTCGCAAGGTTTAGCGACGTGACAGCAAGATCCTCATTTGCCTTGAGTGCTTGGGCTAGCGCAAATGCTCCAGTATCCTATTTTGAATTTATGGTTCACAAAAACATATGATTATCATGGCAAATCATTCAGCTGTCAGTTTTAGAAAAACATGAAGTAAATCTTCGTACTCTGATCTCATTGAAACCCAGATCAAGAGATGTCAATGCCTCATTAACAATTTTCAAGCTGCGTGCTAAGCAGATTGCACCCTGCAGGAATGGAGTGAATAGAGAATCTGTTAAGAGTTCATAACTTAATTAACATTAATGGTAGCAATATATAGTATTCATTAGTGTAATATTTCTTTATTCTTGAGGAAATTTAACTTTATTATATTTTCTTTTTTTTTTCCTCTCTTCTTGTCATCATATACATATATTTTTACTAGCATATAGATTAATGAAACACTATTGTTGTTAGGTCCAAAATCTAAGTGAGAAAATTGAAAAGTTGAATTAAGTAGTTGGCATTAAGAGTAAAATTTGTTGAATAATCATAATATGAATCTAATATATATATATATATAAATTTAATATATATATATATATATATATATATATGACATAAATCCGTTAATACGTTGTATTAATAATTGGTGGAATCAAAATGTGTAAGAAAAAATAAAAATAAAATGATTTATTATAAAAATTGGTTTAGATGTAATAGTTTTAAAAATTGGAAAAGATATAGAGTGACTCATAAGAAGTCTACGAAAGCAATATATGATGCAAAAAAAAAAAAAACTTTTAATGATTTATATAATATATTAGATACTAAGGATGGAGAATGATGTATATATAAATTAGGTAAGCAAGACATAGGAAAAGTAAGAATTTAGTTCAAATGAAGAGCATTAAAGATGGGGATAAAAAAAGCTTTTATTAGACGAGGATATTCAACAAAGGTGGATGAGATATTTCGATAAACTTTTTATTAAAGATTGTGAGAATGACTTTAGTGACCATAATACTCTCAATATAAATAAGGCAAGCATGGTACCTGTTGTGTGATAGAAAAGTACCCCCAAAATTAAGGAAAAAAACTTATAAGATGGTGGTGAGACCTGCAATGCTTTATGGCGCAGAGTGTTGGCAATTAAAAGAAAAGCATAAAATTAAGTTAAATGTTGTAGAGATGAGAACGCTCTGATTGATGAGTAGCATCACTCTTAAAGAGAGTCATCTTAAGATGGTTTGAGCGCATAAAATGCCAACCTTTCGATGACCCGGTTAGAAGAGTGAGATGTTTTAGGTTTGGCCTATGTTAAAAAAGGTAGAGGTAAACCTAAAAGGGCCTGGTTAGAACCTATTAAAAATTACCTTTTTTAAATATATTTAAATGAGATTTTGATTAGAACGAGACAATGGAAAAAATAGATTCATGTAGCTAACCCAATTTAGTGGGATAAAGGCTTAATGTTGTTGTCGTTGTTGTCGTAGCATATTAACGAAGTAAATAAGTGGTTTTTAATTTGTAACAAGTCAACAAAGAACATTTTCCAACATAAATGAAAAAAGATAAAGGTAAGTTTACATTTAAAAACTCTTACATCATCTCCCAACCCATTTGCCCGCAAATCAAGGGTTGATAATGTGGTGTTGTACTTCAAAGCATCTGCAACGTATTCCACTCCTTTTGCTCCAATCTGGAAGGTGATAAAATAATGTGAAACTAGGATATAGCATAAAACAAATATTTTGAGCAAGAGAATACCTGGCACCAACCAAGTTTTAGAGTTTCTAGTTTTCCATGGAACTTGATAATATCACAGAGAGCCCTTGCTCCATCAGGCCCAATTGGGTTGTAACCTAGTTCCAACTGAAACAGGGAAAAAGAATTGGTCTATGGATCAAATATAAAAATTTACATTGGGGGACAACCATGTTAAATGACTCACTGTAGTGATGATCGAATTGTCTTTTAATACTTGGGCTATCTCGCTAACTCCACTTGCATGGATGTTGTTACCGCCCTTAGGAAATCAAAGAAAAGGAAACATCATGATTTGAGATTGTGAATGGAAGACAGTTAAATATAGATTTCTGCTAGCAAAGAGCTGTTGCTCAAACTATATGTTCTCGGATTTTAGGATGGAGGTCACAAGTTCGCATCTGACTTGTGACCTTTAAATTAAATATTCACTAACTCCCTATATGGAATTTGATCTGTAACTGGCCGTGTGCCCGCCTCATTTTAACTATCCATGTGCCCACTTATCTGCAGTTGCTGTTGAGCCTTTCAATTAATAAAATAATTGGAATAAAAATGTATCTTCTAATAAAACTACAATTTGCTTCCTCTTACAGAATACTTCCAAAAGTCTTAAAAGAAAAAAATAATAATAATAAACATTATCTAACAATTTGGATTAGCCAAAAACCCTACCGACATAACTACCACGAATTCTCCTTAAATTGCAGCCTATTAAGTAAGTTACTTCACCGTAAACAGATCATTTATCTCCGTTCAAAACGGACCAAACTAAATCAAGCAAAAATAATTATCTTAAACTAACTAACAACAATCTTTTCATGATGCGCAGAAAGCAACAATAACACAACAACATCAAGCCTTTATCCCACTACGTGGAGTCAGCTACATGAATCCTTTTTCTCCATTGTGCCCTATTAAAAGTCAAATTCTCGTTTAAATTTAATAAAGAAAAACCGTTTCTAATATTTTCTAACGAAGTCTTTTTAGGTCTGCATCTAGCTTTCTTAACATAAGTCAAATCTAATACCTCTACTTTCCTAACCAGGGCATCAGAAGGCTGTCGTTCTATGTGAGCAAACCATCTAAGGCGACTCTCTCAAATCTTATCTTCTACTGGAGCTACTCCAACCTTTTCACGTATATGATCATTTCGTATCCTATCTCTAAGGGTAAAGCCACTCAACCACCTGAGCATCCTCATCTCTGCCACACTTAACATAGTATTATGCTTCTCTTTTAATGGCCAACATTCGACACCATAAATCATTGCAGGCCTCACCACCATCTTATAGAATTTTCCTTTAAGTTTGAGGGGTACTTTTTTATCACAAAACAAGCCCGATGCATTCCTCCACTTCAACCATCCAACTTGAATTCTACTTATAATATCCCCATCTATTTCACCATCACTCTGAAAAATAGATTCACGATATCTAAAAAGTTTACTCTTATTAATGACTTGAACGCCAAAAGTCACAATCCCCTCACTAGGTCTATTACTACTAAAATTACACTCCATATATTCCATTTTAGATCTACTCAAGTGATAACCTTTAGACTCTAAGGTTGACCTTCATAATTCAAGTTTACCTTCAACTCCCTCTCTAGTCTTATCAACAAGAAGAATATCATTAGCAAAAAGCATACACCAAGGTACATCCTCTTGCAAATGATGCGCTGAAAGCAAGAGAAAAAAAAAAGGAAAGTCCTTTCAACTTAAGTTTAAGAAACACCTGACTAAATAGAAACCGAAAATTTAAGATAATTATTAACTTGTGCCCAAACATGGTTATGTAATAGATTTCTACTGAAAAATTAGGCTTAGTAATGACCAATGGCAACTTACAAACTTTAATATTATCTGCAAAGCAGTACTTCAAAGGTGCTTGCTCGGTAATCAATTGTGTTAGCAACTAAATTGGTGTAACTGGCATCGCATATTGCCATCATATCAAGTCAACATTTTGCCAGTATAAGTAAGATAGTAAGAATTCATCGAAAAGAACCTAATAAACTTGGATATCTGGTATCTGTTAAGTAGTGGAGCTATATTCGATAATCAAATGTGCTATCAATAGCAAATTTTGGTGTAACAAGTGCTGCATATTGCCTTCATATTCAGTCAGCAATTGCTAATTCTCAAAAAGATAATAAGATTTCATCGAACAGACTTTAAATGTGCAAAAACAAAGGATGTGATTTTCCTTCTTCAAGAGCCTCGCAATATATGCCATAAGAAGGCCTTCGGTGTTAAATAACATTTTCTTTCTTTTTTTTTTTTTTGCTAATGAAAAATTTCATGCATCTCAGTATTCTGAACATTTTTAAGTAATTTACAGCATGTTTCTAACGTATCAGGAAAGAAAAAAAAAAACCCTTGAATAGATGCACAAGATTAAAGGTAAGTACTATAACTCACCAAATCTATTGTAGTTATCGTCCGATTCTGCTTCAAGGCATCAGCAATCGTTTCAGCCCCCTTTTTATGATTGCAAATTATTTTAAAATGAGGCATAATAGAAGTGAGAATATGATCTAAAGTGCCCGTATGAAATGGATAATAAGATTTCTTTATATACCTCATCACCAATGTCATTCATGTAAAGGTTCAGCCATAGCAAGGATTTTGTTTTCTTGATATAATTAGCAACATGGAAAGCACCTTTTGGATCAATATCATTATTCCCCAAGTCCAAAAGTGTTATTTTTCCTGAAAACCATATGAACATTTAAGTCAAAAGTACATAGATCTCTAGAATGAAACAGCCTGATAGAATGGTAGAATCAGAAGGGTAAAATCCCTAAGAAATGAATCGCACACCTCTGTGGGAAGATAAGCCTGACACTAGTGCTCGGACACCCTCATTACCCATATTATTGCCATGTAAATGAAGTTCCTACAAGAAATAAATTCCAGGAAAACTCTTTTAGCAATAGAAACAACATTTTGCAGCACACGCTTTTAGTTTAACAAAACAGGTCAAATCCCACTATGGAGAGTCAGAATGGCTTTAAATAAAGTTTTAGGACCAGGAATTAAATCCTGGGTTGAAAAAGGATGTTGAAAAAATTGAATAAATATTTCAAGGACAAGGCTAGCCATAACAAATATCATAGTGATTGTGGTTAAAAGGACTTTGAATGGAAAAATAAATTAATCAGTGCCTACGTAATGTTAAGCAAGGCATTCAACATTATACATAAAACAATTTAATACCATTGTAATTCTCACATCGGATCGTTATCATAAACTAAGTAGAATCTAGACTAGGAAAATTAATACCCTTAAAGATTTGTTTCCTTCAATGCCTTTGCCCAAGCTTGCTACTCCAAGTGCGCCCCCATAATTGCCACTAGATTCACAAAAAGAACGAGAATAATTTTAACGAATAAAATCGTTAAAATTAAAATGTAAGTAAAACAAACAATAAAGAAACTTGAACATTTCATACTGATCAAAAGTAAGAACTAGCATTAGAAAAAAGTGAAAGCATCACTAACTTGAGATGTATCGATCTAATAGAGTTGTTTTCATGAAGTGCTCCAGCAAGACCAGCAAATCCCTAATAACGTTTCCAAAAATCAAATTTATTTTGTGAATTATTAATTTCAATGGAACTTCCAAATTTCAAATATGAGAAGCTAGAGTAGATACAGAAAATTCAATCATATTGTTGTTAAGCTCTAAAACACGTAATGTTGAATTATTTTTTAGCAGCTCTGCAATATCCTTTGCCCCCTGCATGATCATTTATAAAGCATATCATATTCAAAATGAAGTAACCTCCATAAATTACGACAAAGGCTAAAACAAACATTCTTAAATAAACTAAGTCAACTAACCTCGTCGCTAATACCGGTACTGTTAAGCTGGAGCTTCTGGATCCCACTATTCCCCATCAAAATATCAGAAAGATACTGCAGACACGAATTATTTTCCCCTCAATAGAAAAAAGATTGTTAATGAAGAAAGAGAAACAAATCAACATTAAGCGTTTTACATGCATTTTAAGAGGCATAACCTATTTCATACAGTAATTTGACAAAATTATAGACAGAAATGAAACAATAAAAACATGACAGCTTTTGTAAAATATATAACAACAACATCAAACCTTTATCCAACTGCGTGGTGTCAGGTATATGAATCATTTTTCTCCATTTTGTTCTATTCAGAGTTGAATTCTCAGTTAAATCTAATAAAAAAGAAGTCATTTCTAATATTTTTCTAATAGAAAATAACCAAAATGGCCCCTTAACTCTTTATGAAAGACTACGTCACTACAATGGTTCCTAACGATATTAAATTACTATTTTGTTCGCTTAACTCCTTAAAAATGAATAAAATAGTCTCAAAATGAGACTATTTTAGTTATGTTTTAAAGACTTAAGGGACCAAAATCATTCTTTAATATAGTCAGGGGCTATTTTGACTTTTCAAAAAGAGTCAATGGAGCATTTTGATCTTTTTCCCATTTTTCTAACAGAGTCATTTTAGGTCTACCTCAACTTCTTCTAACATAGGCCAAATCTAATACAACTACTCTTCGAACCGGCCATCAGAAGGATGACATTTTATGTGACCAAACCATCTAAGATGACTCTCTCTAATTTTATCTGCAACTGGAGCTACCCTAACCTTTTCACATACATGGTCATTTTGCATTTCATCTCTAAGAGTGAAGCCACTCATCCACCTAAGCATTCTCATCTCTACAACACTTAATTTTATGATGCTCTTTTAATGGCCAATATTTTGGCCAAAAAGTTTTACAGATGTCACCACCATCTTATAGAATTTTCCCTTAAGTTTGAGGGGTATTTTTCTATCACACAATATTCTATAAAATATAAAGAGATAAAAATTTGAATATATATATATATATGTGTGTGTGTGTGTGTGTGTTTGCAACATTTCACCCATCATATCATCCAAAAAGATCTCACTTTCTAATGAAAATTTGAATGCAATGAACAAAAATATAATTTATAAATTTAACGCAATAACTCAAAAATACATTTGTTGATGTATTAAGTAGTATAGACAAATTAAGTAGGGTTCCTAATATATTAAAAGGTGATTATATATAGTTTAATATCCTCATAATTAGAGTATTATTCTCTCATATTTGGTTCCTTAGCACATCATCTTGCATGCCCATTTATATGCCCCATATATTTAATAAAAAAAATGGTGCAATTATATACTCTTAACATGTGTCAAAGTAGAAAAAAACCTAGCCACACTCCCAATTCCACATAACCTGCTCATGCCCCTTCCCATGTTGGGCTCACTAAGCCCCTCCCACCAATTCTGTGCATGCAGCTTCCTTAGCTCAATTGCATGTAGCTTTCCTCCACAAGCTCACTTGCTAGCATGCAACTTTCTTCTGCACGAACACTCAACCCTCTAATATTTCGCTTGAGTCCCCACCAAATGCTGGCCTGCTTGCCTACCTTCAGCTTCACTACAAACTCCACTTGTGCTTGTTGCCATTGATTCCTACGCACACCTACATTTTAAACATCCCTCACCTCTCACCTACATTTTAAACATCCCTCACCTCTCACCTACATCATTGTGTCTAACCATCATGAATACTATTATCATCCTCACCAGTGCTTTTGTGTTAACTTGGCTTCACATGCTACCCACTGATCTTTCAAACCTCTCCACTACTCATCAATGTTTCGTGGATGATGATCTAACATCCTTTCATCTACTTAGTCCCTATCTTAGATGGTATCATGGCTCTATCTTATTCAGTATCATGGCCTCTTAGCTTCCACTACATTATGAAAAAATCTCTATCACCGTGGATACTTCTATAAAATTCAATGGAACCAATTTCCTCTTGTGGTCAAGGGGGTTTCTTGTTGGTTCCCAAAACAAATTATCTTATCTTAATATTTCTCCTCTAATTAATGATCATTCCATTAAGTTATCCAAATTAAAAATTTTAAATTATGTTATTCTCACTTAGCAATAGACTTGAAAATTTTCTTCCCTCCAAAACCCTATTTCATTATACAGAAAAGGTTATGTAGGATTTTCTCCTATCCACTTATCCTACATTGGAATACCACAAAATTTTGCATCTGCTTCTCATGTTGGACCTGTTGGAGCTATCCACTTAGGTATGTTCGAGGTTCTAGATTCAGGTGTCTTTTCCATAAGACAGGCAACAACAAACTTATCTCCTCTATACACGACTTTCCTTCCTACCATGATTATGGAAGATAGGTCTCCATTCTCCATGACTAGGTAAAAGCATGGTAACTCCCTAGGCAACCCATAATTTTATAAATGAATTTTTTATTCATTTTCTTATTATGTCATATAATTATTCTACAAGTTTTATCCCTCCTAATGTACCTTTTGGGATCTCACCTCAACAAAGATGATTGGTGAAGATATTGAAACCAATGCACCTAATGATTAATGCTCCTTTGTTCTTTCTTACACTATTACTCATTTCCATTAGTACTATCAACTAAGTCATCCTACTCAAGTGCCTCTTATGTATATTCATGTAATCTTTCACCTCTCTCTCCACCTTTACAGTATTCTCTTATCATCCTTGATGATTGGCGGAGGTGCTAAAGACATGCCAACACTTCCCACCATATTGTTAAACTCAAATAAGCATCCACCACTCATTGAGACACCTGACTAGCATATTCCTATTATTCTTCGTTACCATAATGGTAAAAGACAATGTATTTCTCACTATATTCACTCCTAGTATTTCTTGTAGTCAATTATCCACTTCGTTTCGTATTGTCTTGTCTCTATATTTATCTCTATTCCCAGAACATATCTAGAAGCATTACAACATCCTTTATGAAAATCAGCCATCCGCGTTGAAATAAGTGCTCTTTTGAATTGTCATAACAATGATTTGATTGTCCCATTATTTGCAATCAAATCATAACATATAAATGGGCGTTCACAATCAAATTTCATCCTGATTGATCAATGAATTACTTCAACATTTTGATTGGTTTATAAAGGATTCACTAAAATTCATATTCATAAGATTAATTATTTTTATATATTCTCCTAAACTACTTGCATAAACTTTGTCGAAATCATTTTGTTTAAGGCCATCAGTTAAAGTTTGGTTATGCTATAAGTAGATGCAAGCAATTATTTCCTTTAAGATGATTTATATGAAGACATTTATATGGAGCAAACCTCCAACATGATGCTCAGGGGGAGAACTAAGTGCCATTTCTATGGAAGGTTATAAATGTCCTCAAACAAAGTCTACGAACATGGTTTGACAAAGTCTACGAACATTGTTTGACAAACTTTATAAAGTTCTGGTTGAGATTGATCTTTGCATCGGTACTATGAATCACTTTATCTTCATCAAGCATACTCCTACAAGATTCATCATACTAACAATCTATGATGATGACATCACAATATCCTTGAGATAAAATGTTATTTGCAAAAGTGCTTTATAATCAAAGATTTAGTATGATCTAAGTACTTACTTGAAATTTAATTTGCCTGTAGTAAAAAAGGGAACGTCGCTTTCACGAAGGAAATCTGCTACTAACCTTCTTGGAAAAATTAATACCCTTGGTTGTAATCCTATTGACAATCCTATGGAGAATCAGGTCACACTTGATTATGATGAATCTCTTGATGATCCATTTTAATATCAAATATTAGTTAGTAAATTGACTTATTAGACTACTACCAAACTGGACATCTCCCTTTTCATCGGAATAGTAAGTTAGAACATACAATGTCCAAAGAAAAAGTATTGAGAAGCAATTCTACGACTCACACATATCAAAAAGTCTCCGGAGAAAGAATTGCATATACTAAATTTAAGAATCTGAACATTAAATTCTTTGGGTTAGTTGATGATTGAAAGCCAACCTCAGGATGTTGCATCTTTATTAGAGGAAATATTGTGTTTTGAAAAAGCAAGAAATATATTATTGTGTTCAACTCAAATATTGAAGAAGAATACAAAGTTTGGCTCATTCTCCATGTGAAATAATGTTAGTTAAAACTTTTTTAAGAGTTTTTAAATTCTCTGCTACTAAAACTTTCAACTCGATAATGAAATAATTGTGTTGTCATATATATTAATAGCAATCCTATTTTTTAAAAATAAATTATATGTTCAAGTAGATTGTTATTTCATTCGAGATATTATGCTTTTCACAAAATTGAAGTTCTAATGTCCAGTACAAAGCAAGTGATATATATCTTCATTAAGTTTCTAAAGAACCAACTTTTTTTTTTTCACATAACAACCTACTGCTAATAGTTAACAGATACTCCAGCTTAGTATAGACGAATAAGTATAGCTCATAGTACTAGAAAGTTATTATATGTAATTTAATATCCTCATAATTGGTGGTATGTTCTCTTTATTTATTTACTAATTGTATCCCTTATGTACTTATTCATAGGCCTCACATAATCAATCAATTTTATACTTTAATTATTAGCTCTCAATAATGTCAGCTGAATAGAATGACCTTTCATATTTGAATTGTAATACTTTTTCCTTAAAAAAGCATTGCCTATGTCTAAGCAGGGGATAAACTGAGCACAACCAATATATTGTTAGAACAGCAATATCATATACATCAGGGACGCAAACTATAGTTTCACAAAAGAACAAAAAATCAAATCTAATGAGAACATAAAAACTCTCCCCAAGAAAATCAGCCTCTAAAATATGGGTAGCCCTATTTGTAAAGAGTTATAATGCCCATTAAAGAACCATTTATTCTTCATCTGTCAACACTACCTCGTTTTTCAACCAAACAACCTCATTTGCTAGCCAATCTACAGAACCATTACATTCTATTTAGAAATAGTAACACCTTGGACCTAAAGAACCATAACTTCTAAACTTCCTAAATTAATAAAACATGGACCACTC